ATGTTCTCAACAACACTTGGAACATTGAGCAGCTACGTCGTTTTTTCCCTTAAAACTTAGCCTAAGCACTTTCGGTTAGAACACATTCTCCCGTAAGAGCGCCCCCGCCCGAAACACTTTCAACCCGGGTTGCTCGGGGGATCCATAAGTGTACAAATATTGAGTATTACCTCTCTTTCTCTTTACTATCACATGGTATACAACTTTCTCCCCGAACGGAAACACAAATCCATTCCTTTGATTACCCTACGTAACCCTGTTCTTACTCCCAAACCGAACGCACCCCGCCTTTCCCTACGGATGCGAGCAACCGAGCCTTGCGGGCCACACCCCGGGCTCCCAAGATCGCACCCTATGGGACAAAATGGGCAAGTACGAAAAAGAAAGGATAAAAACAAAGGTTATGCTAGGACAGAAACAAGGAAGCAGATATGGTGGTTTCGTCATAGGGGCAGTACGGTTATATTTATTAATGCAAAGAAACTATTTACATGGGGACTTACCCACAAAACTTAACTATTACACTTTTCTACTGCTACAAATACTACTGCGGCCACTCGAATGACATCGCCTGGAAGCCAAAGAAGAAACCGGATGCAACCACCAAGACCCGCTCGGCTCCGCTCCTTTGACTTCAGTAATACGCAATAGATACCTCCAGGGCACCGCACCTATAGATGCTCAGCAGAAGAACATGGAGCTCCTGACCTTCTCATGCAGTCGAGGCAGCTCCTGGGTGGGGGCGCCGCTACCGAGGTATGGCCGCCATGGCGGGAAGAAATCTCATCAAACTTTATGAACTGGCCGACTTGAGCAGCTGTAGGCACAAAACCCTCCACCGGCACAATCATGAGTAACCTCCCCTCCGACGAAGCTCGCCCAGAAAAGATCCACCAGAGAAAATCTACCCACGGCTCCATCCCAAAGAAGGCCTCACAGATCAGATCCGGCATCACCTCCAATCCAACATCTCGCTTCGGGTTCACAAAAGGATTTGTAAGTCCTCCCCCTCGCTCACTCTCTCTCCCACTTAGGAACCGCCACGGCATACAGGCACTCTCTGTGAGAAGGAAGAAGGAAGAGAGACAATAGTTGGAGAACAAGCAAAGGACTACGACGGAGAGCCCTCTCCCTCCCCCTATTTAAAGAAGAAAAGCAAACGATCAGAGCTCAAAACTCTGCCCCCATTCAATGCGGATGGGAAATGACGGGACACGCCCTAGCCAAAGGGACGCACATTGACTGACGGAGCAACGCCGGGTCAGACGGAACGTCGCCTGGCAAAGCAAAACATGGCCTGGGTATGTCCCACCACTATCGCACAACCGGGCGCGAAAACCGAAGCATCACCACACGCAGACAGCTCCCCGCTCCCCCAGGCCAGGGGAGAGCTAAAACATAATCTCCACCGGGAGGCCAACCGGTCCCCTGAGTCAATCGAGTCGCTCAGTATCCACACCAGGACACAAGTAGGAAGCGAAGGGACGCCCCATGCAGGCCATGCCAACTCCGTCATGAACGACAAGCACGGGTCCCGGTCGGACGTTTCCGACTAAAGCTCTCCGAGCCCCGTCACTCTAGTCGCCAAGGTAAACATTACCAAAACCCCCTCTATTTCTTTATAAATCATTTATACATCCATACGCGCATTCATTTCATACGCCCATGCCTCCCGGATGATTCGGGCCCTGAACCGCCCGGGGGCTCGAGAACTAAGCATCGCACGTGCAGCGAAATGCATCAGAACGCTCCGTGTTGCGTCACGAAGCGGTGGTTGCCTCATTCGACATGGGCAACCAACAGAGCCAGGGGAGAAAACCGTAGATGAGCACCATGCGGCCCTAGCTCGGTCTGGCAGACTAGGTCATCTCAAACTTCTCGTTTGATCCTAAACCTCTCGCCAGGCCCACAGAATCTCCATCGAAGGGGAGGCCATTAGGCCACCTGGGTCGGTCTCCGGAATGACCTAGGCATCTATCGGGTTGTAGGTAAAGGAGTAGTGGAATGTCACAAGAGGGCTATGCCGACCCTGTCATGAACGACGGACCCAGATTCCACTCGATCACACCCGTTAGCAAACTCACCGAGCTAGTCTTCGAGCCCGAGCGATCGGGACAGGCGATGAAACTTAGCCCCTCCGGTTGTGAGGAACCGAGGATGGGGTAACACACAATACTCACATCAACCCCCACGAAGGCCCGATAGGGCTCGGGGGCTCAAGAAAAATACCAAGAATAGCGACCTCGAACTCGCCAGATCCACGACTCCGAACCGCCCGATCCCGCAGCGCGCACCGACGCCAGGATCCACGAGCATCGCCTCGTCCGATCTTTAACCAACTAACTACGCTTTGGCTTCAAAACAGCTTCAGACGGCTTCACTGCGCTCCAAATAAACCTAGGACCGTGACTCCTAAACTCGCATAACGGCTTCAGACGGCTTCACTGCGCTCCAAATAAACCTGGGACCGTGACTCCTAAACTCGCATAACGGCTTCAGACGGCTTCACTACGCTCCAAATAACCCTGCGACCGCGACTCCTAAACTCACGTAACGGCTTCACTTTCGACTATGCTCCTAGGACCCACGAGCTCCGGCTCGTCCAAATCCTGAACTAACTAAACTAACTCCCTCGGCCCACGGCACGCACCGACGCCTAGGTCCGTTCGCCGCTCCACCTCGCTTGATCCCACGGCGTGCATCGACGCCAAAGATCAGTGAGCTCTGACACATCCGAACCGAGCTATCACCGTCCATGGCGCGCACCAACGCCAGCGTTCTCTCTGAACTAACCTTCTCACCCGATCCGCGGCGCGCACCGACGCTGGGATCAGTAAGTTCTGTCTCATCCACGCCTAAAAATCCCCTCGGCCGCACAATGACGCCGCGGTTAAAACAAAAATCCGTCTCAAACTAAAAACCCACTAAAACTACACCCCCCAGACGGTTCTGACCGAACCACCCGAGGGCTCGGGGACTACACCCGCGGGTGCGCTCACGCGCACCCGCCGACACAACAGAAAAACCTCCACTGCTGACAACATGGAAAACCGCCCATCCGGTTCTCCAATCGAAAAGGCCTGGCCCAAAACACCACTTCCTACTCCGACCGGGGACCCCATAGGAGGCCTGCTTACCACTCTTCTCCGACTGGCGCGGCCAGGGCCGACTGGGGCCATCCAACCGGGGACACCCGCTCGGAAGGGACCAGGGGCAAATGGAGAAGGTAGTGCACAAAGTCAGACCACGATACTAGCACCATACCCTGTACGCCTTCAGGAACAGTGCTCCTCAACCGCCCTGACACAAACAGTATTGTAGCACCGACATTTGTGTCTACAGTATTGTAGGCGCCATTGGGCTCCCACACGGCAAAAAGCCCTCCACGTACCTCTAGGCATCGATAGTGGGCGCCAGGGTTCACCATACCTGGTAGACAGGGTAGGGCTCCTCACATACCAATAGTATTTTGTAGGTACCGACATCCACCCTTCCTGAAGAAGCCAATGCAACCTCCCATGTGCACCTAACATTCTATAGTGACATCAACAGTATTGTGGGTGTCTGCCACCATCGCTACCCTCGTCGGCGTGGGCAACAAGGCTTAGAAACATCCGTACTCTCTCCCTCTCACCTGTAAAGCCATCCCCTTTATCTATAAAAAGGGGATGCGCTCTCTCCAACGAAGGAGGTCCATTTCTTCAAGTTCAGACTCACTAGATCGATAGCTCACAAACCCCTCAAGCACACGCTTGAACACCTAGCTCATAGCGGAGTTCCGGTCGCCCTCGGCCCTCCCGGTCGGACCTGACCGGGCCTCTTGTATACCTCTCCTTTCTCCTTCTCGTTTGTAACCCCACTACAGACTTCGAGCACCTGGGCTCAGGAATAAAGTCACCGACCGACCCACACTGGACGTAGGGCACATTGCCTGAACCAGTATAAATCCTGTGTCATTGAGTGCTAGGCCACCTCTGATCACAACGTACAACAAAACTATAAATATTCACTAGTTGGTCACTTTCTATATCGAGACACTCAAATTAAGCTACTTTAAGGAATCATCTAGCACAAGCTAATCCTAGTAATCACACAATCAAGATTAAGCATAAGCAATCAACTCCAAGTATATGCACAAAATCTGGGCAGCAACATAACAACCACTCAATTTAACCATAACTAGAGTTATACGCCTCCAACAAGGATGATCCTAGACTTTCTAGACAGCTAATGAGATTATCTAAAACTTTGTTATTATCATCTAAGGGTGACTTCACAGCTAAAAAGGTTAAACAACACAATGAAGACATGTCTGTTCAGATTTGGACAGAACCTGCCATTCCACTTTGAATAGCAATAACTAGAGTTCTAGACCACCAAAACTAGTGATCTCAGACACATAGAAAGCTTAGGAAAAGCACTACAACTCTCCTATTATCACCAATACATGATTCCATGTTTAAATGAGCCAAATAATACAATTTTTGTCGTTATCATGTAGAGAAAACATCACAAAAAATTGATTTTAGATTACTATACATGTGCCACGTAGGACAAAAAAATCGTCGTAAAATGTTGTCGTCATATGATGCAACAGGTTTTGACATGGCATATTGCAACTCACAATACACATTGAAGTCCATTGAACAATATACAACCCATCACAGCATTGCAGACAGAAATCAATAGACAACCATCAAGCAAATTTAAATTGCTCACATCCATTACATCGTAGATCCATTCAGAGTTACATGTTCAAATAATTTGACATGTCAAACTCAACCCAAAATACATTAAACTCATGTCCAAGTCACTACCAGATCCAACCAAGTGGCAAAATCATCAGCCACATATCCAAGGAATTACCAAATACACAACCAGATGCAAACCATTACCAGGTCCAAGCCATGTACCAAAATAAATAAACAGACACATATCCAAGCCATGTTTAGGTCATGCATCATGATCAGTAGGATAAAAGGAAAAGGGTAAGGAGTGATCTAGTCCTTGTTCAAGGTGAACAACCGACGAAGAAGAGCATTCGTTTCCTCTCCTTGTTTCTTCAAATTTTCAATTTGTTCTGCCTGTTTCTCCCTTGCTTCCTCTGATTCCTCAACCTTCTTCTTCAACACTTCCAACTCATCCTGTTGACCATGAAGTTGGTCTCTAAGTGCTGTAGCACCTTGTTTCTCTGCCGCAACTTTAGCCTCCAACCCTTGTACACTGCAGCAGCAGTAGCGCTTCTCTTGGGGACTGTTGTCTCAAGGCCAACATTTCGAAGAAATTTACTTGATGGCAAAACATGAGCAACAACTTCAGTAGGAGTCTTTGGTTGTTCCCCTTCTGGTGTAGGCTGAGCCATCATGGTATCCATTTGGTCCTAACATGTTAAGAAAAATAGTTTGCATTATAGTTAGTATACAAATATGAAAAAAAATTCAAGCAATTACTGCCTGAATAGAAAAACATACTACATTTGATGACAAAACAAGCTAGAACTAGTACGGATAATTTTGTTGTTGCCACTTAAAAGTAGTGAATTCATATTTCAGACTATGCAATTAAAAAGAGTTGTATGTTTCACTCCGGGACATTACTTCAATGACACATTGACACTACTAGAAGAACATCCATATAGCAACATAGCTAATTATCTGATGCTGCTACAAACCTGTGGACCTACTGCTAGCTGCTACAAACCTGCAGACCTACTGCTTGAAGGACACTACTAAAAGTATGCAAAGTTTTGTAGGTTGCAGACCTGCTGCTGCTATGAACTTTTGGCCACTTCAGTTACAGTAGATAAATTATACTTTGGTCCTTCAAATAATTAAACTCAGTTACTACCCCCACCTTCCCAATTTCATCATTAACCAAATCTTTAGAACAGTCCATTTAGAAAACCAGTCTTGCTGCTCAGTTACAGTAGATAAATATATTGCAGCCTTATCAGGTCTAGAACAGTCCATTTAGAATATGTACTTACATTATTTTCCTTCACGGGCTCACAAAAACCAGTCTTGCTGCTGCAGTGTAATTCCTTGAAAAGATCGATTGCAGTGGGCGGCACATCTTTATATTTGTTTTGTTTCTGAATTAACATGTAAACAATTTGTAAATGTTAGTTTAGAATCTACAAAATAGTTCAACACAAAATAAACATTGAACACACACACATAATGTTTTGTATCTTACCAGGACATGGGCGTGCGCAATGAAGCATCTAGATCCTGTCCTTTGAGCGAACCGAACTTTTCCACGATTCTCAATGTTTTTGACACACCTTTCCTATAAGATATATCATAGTATGAAAGGATCAGATTATAAAGGTAGTTTCATTTAGACAAACTGTGAGCTATATATTTGTGAAGCTTCATTTAGACAAACTGTGAGCTATATATCTGTTATATGAATGCTGTGTAAATGACTCAGAACAGTAAAGTAAAATAATACGGTAAGAGTCAATTTACATTATATGACAACTACTGGAAGTTTTTTCATGCAACATACTGGACGTTTTTAATTCTATGGGTACAAATTCTGGCATCAAACCTAGATTAAATTAGCTACGATACATACTTCCTATTGATTTCCACTGAAAGGCCTCACTGTACCTTGTTTAGTAATATCTTAATCTATTATAGGAAACACATTCAGGATGTTATTTCCACTGAAGATGAGGTACATCCAGGATCCACACATGGCCAACTGCGAATTCTATTGTAATGCAGAGCCTCTGATTTCAACATGAACAATTTATCTTTTGAGTTGATACAGTCTGGCGAAGAAAGCTATGAGGTGAAAAATACTGTTATATGATATCTACTTAAGTCATATTTCATTTGGAAAATTTGTGCGCTCATTTAGATTCATGTTTTTAATTTCACATTAAACTTCGACTCTTCAGATACTAGTACCTGGTATGATGTTCAGAATCATAGATGTGAAACATTGACTAGCAGCATTCAGTATTTCATCTTAAAGCACCTCACCAAGTTTGGCGAATAGTCACAATTCACAAAACGACAGAGCAACGACTGCACATTATGCTTTTATGTGCAGGTTGTCACTGGTCAGATTAGACAATTACTTGTGGAGATCAAGTATGGAAATTCACTTACATTTCTTGTAACATAATTCTACCACTAGCAGGGACCAAGGTAAAGCAACTACCTTTTTTTCTTTAAAATGTTACTGTGTTCATTTGTATATGTGGACATCAATTTTTTTTTTCTCGAACATGCAGGAGAGCTGTGTATCATTATATTAATAGAAGAAGAGAGAGTCATACATAGAGCCAAACCCACACACACAAACACCCACTAATTATTCCTTGTATTGTATGTAAATATGTAAAGTTTCCGAAAAAAGAGTGTAATATTTGTTTTCAGGTGAAACTGGCTAGTTTGGCAAAGTCTTTGTTAGAGTAATTTGCACCAGATTTTATTGTCAAAACTGAAGTAATGATGCTGATTCATGAACTGCAGGTACAAATTTGAAGAATGAGGCATAGCTTTGTAACATCTGCAACATCTGTAGTCCTTGTACATGAATCTAAAGGTACACCGATTGGATAACATAGTTGGAGTTATCACTATTACTATTGAAGATCGACTTGAAATGAAAAAAAAATCCAACTATTATTTAAAAGTTGACCTGAACTGAAGTAAATTTCAACTGTAACTGTAACCAGCATAAGAATATTTGCTCTAGATTGATCATGAGTGTAAGATTAAAGTGCCATAGTTCCAAGGATGCCCAAGAATGAATGGAAGGAACTCTATACCTTATGCTTAGGGCTTGACCATAGCTCCACGAGTGCAATCCATTGTTCATCAGTCATACTCCTCACCGGAGATGTTGTTCTCACTTCATTTGTAGGTACTCCATCAAAGTAAGCCCTCTTCAGCTTGTGCCTTAATTGTCGTTGCCTAGTCTTGAGCAAATCAAAGCATGCAGCTTCAACTTCCTTGTCTTTAGGGTCTATGGTAAATTTGATCTAGTGAAGAGCATGTCAAGAGCACGTAGATTAGAAAAAGAGGCATTCAAACCATAACAAAAAAAGAACATTAATTGTGTTGTTGGAAAGACTTTCTTCTACTTACACCCATCTTTCCCATGTAGTCTTTAAAAGGATTTTCATCGTTCTTGTACTCCTTCCAGTGTGTATATATTGGTATGTGTTGCCTCAATATAATACCTCCCTCTGATGCAAGCTTTGCAGCTTGCATTGGTGCCTCTGGCCTTCTTTTCCCTTTAGCAATAACCAACGGCATCTTTCTGTTTAAACCATGGCATATCCTGTCCAAATCTCTGCCCATACTTCTGCCCCTGCTACGTTGAGTAATCAAGTTATCACTTGGTTCACCTGAAAATAATGAGCTTTTCACGGTTAGCGCACATCATAAATTTTTCATGAAAATAGGCAAATCATATTTCTTGGAGAGGAGCAATGTTTTCTTGCCTTCAAAGCCTGTTTGAATCTGCTCATCATCTTGTGTAGAACAGTCAACAGCAAGCAATGCATCTTCTTGTGCATTTGTAGTTGTACCATGTTGGATACCTTCCTCAGTTGATAGTTCCCTCATCCTCTGCCTAGTCATTCTAGTGGTTTGCTCTTGTCCAACAGGTGGCATGGAGACTCTCTTTGAGCCTCTTGTTCTGACAGTATTCCTGATGGTATTTTTTGACAAAATGCTCCTCTGCATGGCCTGCATAATACAAGGAAAAAGTTAGAACCAGCAGCATGATTATCTTTGTATGTGCAGCATTAGCAACCTGCAAAGCCTTGGTACCTTGCTAATAATAAGAAACAATAAAGGACAAACAAACATATACCTCCTCATCTTCACAGTCCTCACTCTCCTGACCACTCTCCTGACTTGTATACAACGATCCAGAAACTTCATGGTCTTCACCCTTTCTCTCCACAGATGTATTGTTCACTATGGGCACTAATGTCTTGATACCAAGCCTCTCCAGCTCTCGGTTGTTTTTCATTATTTCTTCATTCCTTGAACGCTCATATTCAGTAATAGGCGCCTCTGTAAAAATCATTTGAGAATAGTTAGACACTGCAAGTTGTATAGCAAGGATGACTTGCTGCATGCACAATAAGATGTTCTTACAAGAGAAGTTTTGCAAGATTAAACATCCAGCAAATATAAACCCAAAGGAAAATTTAGTTAACCTAGCTACCTACCTAATTATTCATCTATTTAAAGGCTATTACATATATGCTGCTGCTGGACAGGCTCGAGAATCTTTGTTGCTGCTGCTGGATTACAGAGATAAGCTAACTGTATGCTGCTGCTGCTGGACAGGCTCTCTAGCATCTTTGTTGGACATCATCTAGAAAGCCAAACTGTAATATATGCTGCTGCTGCTGCAGGTTGCTGCTACAAAATTGCAGCAAACCTTGCACAAACTATGCTGCTGTTGCTGCTGCAAACTATAGGTTCATTGTATTGATGGGACATTATACATTATCAGCTTCATTGTATTAATCAGTCTAAGGAGATACTATACATTGTAATAAGTCATATTAATCAGCTTAAGATTAACTACACAACTAGATTAATCAGTCCAATGGATAAATGTGTGCTTAGGCTATTGAATGAAAGAGTAACCTGTAGCAATACTGTAGACTTATTTAAAATGCATAGATGAATAGGTACTCATCACTCATCAGGCAATTAGTAATTGGTAGTACAGATCAATAGCTATTGTATGCATGAGTTAATTCAAACCTCTTTGTCTGAAAAATAGCACTAATTTCAGCTATCGTAAGTTCTGCAATAATAGCAGAGGATTTCAGCAGGCTGTTTGAAATTAGCATCAGGTAGCTTACTGATCCAGCGAAGGATGCATCAAGTCAGGACAAATAGAGATTGATTTATCTAAGCCGAGCTTTCAAAAAATTCTGAAAGATGAAAAAATTTCGACATGTTTAAAAAGTTGATAATGGGAACATCCAATCCACCAGTGAAGATAGCCAGTTTCTTTCAAACTACACACTACAGTGATCTTCATACTGCTAATATAGGTACCAATTTTAAAGGTGACCCATTATATAGATATCAGAAACAAAAAGTTCCAGCCTCCCAATCATACTTTTTTAACACAGCTAGTGCATCTCAGCCCCTAGTAGAATATTGTAGCAGTCACTTGTAGCCATACAGATTAAACAAATAGCCGAGATTGTACAAATAGCACTCACTTGTACCCATACAGATTAAAAAATTACAAATAAAAATACCACACTCGCAATTGTATGGACTACATTTACAATTTAACAAGAGGATACACGGGCAAAAGGGGACTATTGAATAACAAAATCATTTGATTAGAAATTTTCTAGCAATTCTTTAGTGATAAGGTCTTAAGACAAATAAAGATGGTAGACGATGAACCTTTCCCATTGTCTTCCCCATACATGGTGAGCAGATTCACTATGCTAAAAAGTAGAGGCAAACCTAGAACTGGGGGATTCACTTAAATCCCACAAAAAATCAGAGAAAAAAAATGAAAGGGTACTACCACTACGGCACTACACAATTTCACGCAACAAGCAACTGAAAACCCTAACAGTAACTCAAAAATTTCACGGCTACTGGCGGGGGAGCGAGGGGGGTCGCACCTTCTGACGGATTGTGCCTGCTGCTTGAGTCGGCGTGAGGAGTGGGGGCGGCGCCTGCTGGGGAGCGACACCCGCTCGGGTCGGGCGGAGTGAGGGGGCAGCGCCCTGCTGCGTCGGGGTCAGGCGGGTGGGCGGAGTGAGGGGCGGCAATTTAGATTTGGGAGAAATAGGAAGCATGTGGCGTCGGGGGGATAGAAATAGATGGCGGCAGGAGAAAATTTTGGGACAGTTTTCACCGGGACAAAGAGGGAGCGCATGGAGTCGATGGGAGAAGAATGGTGGCGGCGGATGAATTTTTTGCGCTCGGCGTCGGCGGGAGAAGAAGCTGGTGGCGGCGGATGATTTTTTTTTCTCCCGGCGTCGGTGGGAGAAGATGCAAGCGTAGTAGCGGCGGATGTTTTTTTTTTTGCTTTGGGTCCAGAGAGCTAGGGTTTAGTGAGACTGCTGGGCCTAATGGGCTGGTTTTTAGAACATAAAAATATTAAGGGTTTATTGAGACTGCTGGGCCTAATGGACTCTTTTTTAGAATAAAAAAATTAAGGATGGAAAAGAAAAAATATTGAAATCTCATAGCCGTGAGCAACTCGTATTTTTCGCGCGAAAAATACACGCGTATGGCTGATGGGATTTGAACCTCCAACTTGCAACCTCACGTGTAGCACCCCTAATCACTCCACCTCAAAGTCATTTGAGACTAAATAGATGATATAGATGATATTTTTCTTTAGTAGTCTAGATATTGTTGAAGTCATCGAGATATAGAACATTTGGTTTTAGTAGTTTCTCCATCCAATGTTGTTTGGACAATTCAAGAAAATTGTAATTCAAAATATTATATGTGAAGTTGAGCTTATCATGTTAAAATTCAAATCATAAGTTGCGATGATTGTCTATTAGCATGTCATGACAAATTGCAACTCGTCGTAATATGGAAATCCTTCGGTTTACGACGATTGCTTCTAGATCTTAGTGACGGACAAATAATTTTCGTCGTAAAGTCATACTCCCACCAAATAACGTCGTAAAACAAAATGACTTAGCGACAAATTTAGCTGTCGTCATGAGAAAATCGTCGTAGAAGGTCATATTTCTTGTAGTGATTTCAGAATGTAACAATTTGACGTTTCACTTGTTTTGCTAACAAAGAACATGCACACATGAGCCATTCAAGAACTTCAACCACCACTAACATACTTAGCAACACTTTATTGAACCCTAATCACTCAAAGCATCACCAAATACAATTACAAGCTTTATCTATAATTATGCTTTTATTAATCCTTTCTCCTAATAAACACACGCGCGTGCGCGCGCACACACACACACACATATATATATATTAGTGATATATGAGAACAACTAGTCTGGGGCTGAGACTTTTATGAGTGGTAGTTGTTATCAAAACATGGCTACTGCATAAATTTCACATGCTCAGGATTTATAATTTAATTACTATGAAAAATATAAATTGCTATTGTAAGAAAACATGTAAAAGCAAGATAAATCTAAAGATCATCATTTTCTATAAACATATAGCCATATTATGATTTCTTAGGTCACAATATCACCATGCAAGGGCAAAGGAACCACATTTCACATTTTTGCATATATACATTATTTATAAATCATTTAAAGCCATTTATCAAGCATTAATCAAGTTTAATTCATAACTTGGTCATACATGCACCAAAAATTATGAAATTTTAACCAGAGCTCACACATGCTATAAGTATACTAGCATTTGGAGTAGTACAATAGTAGATATGATGATAGCAAGCAAAGTAAGCTAGAATTAACCATTAATCATGATTAAATCAAAACATCATAAAAACAGTGATCAAACAACATGTTTAATATTTTTCTTAGCCAGAACAAGCCAAAACAAGACTCCCAAAACTAGAATCATGATTTTAGGACATTCCTACCTCGAGATATGCATCTGACAAACTTAAAAGGATTTCTAAAAGCACTTTATAAGAATAAATAAAAACAACGGAAACTTTCCACTAACACATATCATATTATGTCTCTACTACATAAATCTACTCTCAAGGATTCTAAAAAGTCTTTATTTGCTATTTTACAATTTTTTCATGATTTATTATGATTTTCTAAAGTTTTAGCCATAAAAGAAAAACAAACTTGCACCGAGGACCCCGAACTTCCATGACAATAAATTCCTGCGAAACAGTCCTTCTAGCCACTATTCACACGAGTCACGACTCTGTAGAAAACCCCTTCCCTTTCTTCGAATTTGAGCACGACGTCCTTCGCGTGATTTGAAACAGAGCAGGTGCGGGAGCTCGCTGGTTCAGGCGACGGGGTCGCCGACGGTGGCCATGGCAGGGCCGTGCGCCCATCCAGGGGCTCGTGCACGGCCGCAGGGCTGTCCGTCTTAGGCTACGACCACTGAGGTGGCATAGCCACGCGAGCAAAGGGCCACAGCGGCATAGCCACACGACGCGAGGGCGACAGCGGCTGGCTGCTCTAGGCAAAGAGGAGCGGTGCGCTGGCTACGGCGCACGACGGTGAAGGTGCCACAGTGCATGGGAGAAACAGAGGTGGCTCAAAGAACGAGCGAGGATGGTGGCTGCGAAGCTCGGGCGGTGGCCATGGCGGCGTGTCCGCGCCCACGAGCTGTAGAGCGAGGAAGGGAGCGAGCGGAGGCGAGGGAGAGCGAGTGAGGGGATGGGGAGCTCGAGCGTCCACCTTTGGAGGGCGTAGGGGCACGGCAGGGAGGCAGGCACATGCGGCAGCTGCGCTCGACAATGGTGGGGGCACGCTCTCGCGCATGGACGACACGTCGACATTTCTCCGAGCACGTGGCGTGCAGCGAAGTAGGCAAGGTGGGAGCCAAATTGGGCCGGCTATGAGCCAATTTGGACATTGGGGCCAAAAGCAAAGTTGAAGCCCACCTGATGATCTACAAAACTCATTAAGGGTGCCTGGCCATTAGATAAAAAAATTAACGAGTAATTAAGCCCGAAGTTGACATTGTCAGCGACTAATCAAGGATTAAGCCTTGCTCTGCTTGAGCTTAAATTACTTTATCAAAATGTGGTCAAATTGATTCCAACTTTTTGTAGGTCCTTCTCCAAGATGTAAACTCCAACTTTTATATTTGGCTCAACTTGAATTGCTTAACAAAAATCCGAGAACGCGTGATGCCAATCATCGTTGCCACTGAAATTTCCAGACAGCCAAATTTTTGAGATCCATAACAGAACTGGGTTCAGTTTTGAGTCCTCAGTTTAACTAAGTTAGGGACCAAACTAGCTCATGACTCTTGAACAAAGTTTGTTGTGCACCTCTTGGTCTGCAACTTTGCTTAAAGGATCATGGACTGGTTCAGCTTAGTTAGGGAGATACAATTCTCCAAAGTGGGGTACACGAAAACGAAACCAGGATTCAGTTCTGGAAACAGTTAGTCTTTCCTGATTTTGAAACTAACTTCGAAGATCCAAATAAACTTCAAACTTGATGAGACTTGCTTCATTGTTTCTAGCACAAAGTGTACTTCAACACATATTAAGGAATCTAGTTGAGTTACCATATGAATTTGGAAGATAAAAATATCACAACATGTCAACTTGCTGTTGTCGATCAGGGACAAGTTTCTGAGAGGCCAAAACAACACTGCATCCAAACTTTAGGCCACTGTTTGAGCCACTTAGGAGTTGAATCAGGGCTTGGTCCAAAAATAAAGTTTGTTGCACTCCATTCAAACTTCAACTTTTATTTAAGGTCCAACTCCATGCAAGCACTCCAAACAGTTGGTCAACATAGGTCAAAACCATATCATGAAAAAGACAATTTTAGCTATTCCCACACTTAGAAGCATTTTCTTGACATTTGCTCAACACGAACCCTTCATGACTTTTGTTGTAGAGTTCAATTAGAGTCAGTTGGGCAAGGTAGCAAGGTTTGGTCAACATTCCATGTTCCCATTCACTTGATGAAGCAATTTAAGCAAAAATGAACTTATCATTTTATGTGACTTTTTGGTTCCAAACTTCATAAAACTTTTCCACTGGTCAAGATGGATGTATGTTGATGTAATGTACATGAAATAAGCATGTTTAACATTACTCATGCCTAATCTTAACCAGGGTCCATATGTAAGCAAAGGCGTGTTGTCCAAGTTCAAGTTGGGACTCAATTTCATAGATTGGACCTCAACACCTTCATTATCACTTCAAAATTATGAACTAGAGCTCTTGATTACCACTGAACTTATCATGTTGCAGCTCAAACCCACTGCTTCACTGGTGAAAAACACCTGGGGTGTTACAACTGTGTTCAAAAGAAAAAAGCAGATACAATCATAGGGACAAGGGAGGTGATGCCTTTTGAAATATTCCTTGTCCTGGGGCTAGGATGGCAAATGGATCATAGGCATTTTTCCTTCGTTGAAATGTCTCCCACCTTGCCTCGAAGTGGGCCTTCCACTCCTGTGCAGTGTTGTAGTTGGGCAGATATTGCTTCACCCTAATACCTGCCTTGCCAGAGAATTCTATTATCTGGTTATTAAGGTTCAGTGCATGTTCGACGCCGTGAGGACCTGATGAAGATGGCACTGAGGATAGGAATCCCACTAGGTAGAAAACTTCCTCATCTGGTATGACTACTGACGTTCTATTGTCCCATCTGCATGAAATGAAAATAGTCAGTCATCAATCAAACTATGGAAGGTGCACCACCATGAGGTTTCTTGTTTCACATGTTAATTTAATTACCTGAATTTGTTTACTGGGTAGAGCAATATGGGACCACTGTTGCTGTCTTTCAGTATTTTCCCAAAGACCTCCCTTGCGAATGTGTGGATCGAACTCTTTGGAACCATGAGATTTAGCCATGGGTGTGGGACCTCCCACATCCCCTTAACTCTCAGTTTAACCTCAGAGGAGCGCACTCTATCCAGGAACTCGATGTAGGTGACATCTGTGTGGAATAGGGATGGAGGCATATATCTAAGTTGATACAGTAGGTTATTGACCTCCTGCAGACATGTATACACATATTTCGATCACTCAAATTGATTTCATTTGATATTAGTCACAAGTCGTAACCATATTCAATGGTATGCGAGTTGTCTGCTCACCTGTTCCATGTTGTCTGCCTCCTCAGGGTTGTAGTTCTTGGTCATCTCGAGGCAGAAGAGCACCCTTCTATCTGATTCGAACTGGCTTGCCCACACTGGATCCTGTGGGCTAAATGATGATCTCCAGTTGTTCAGGATGCCTGTCCTGTTGATGCTGACGAAGCCCTCTATGTAATCAAAGGTCTTCTCTGCTGAAATAAGCATCTCCTGATCCTCTGCAAAGCTTGTGAAGTCTGAGTAGATAACTCTAATCCACCTCACCTGTTGCATATTCAAATCATTAGCGAGTAGCTGTTAAAAGTTGCTAACGTTAAGTTGGTATATAAATGATTCTCTTGTTTGCTGTACCATTTTTGGAGCAGGCTCGAGCACAATCCTGGCCCTAGTGATGATACCGAACTGACCTAGGCCACCAAGAGCAGCATGGAAGAGATCAGAGTTCCGCTCTGGTGAGCAAGTGACGATGTCTCCTTTTCCTGCATTTAGCAGTCATGATGTACAAGTTGGATAAGAACCCATTATATTTTGTTGTTCAAAGAACTTTCATTTCATCATAATTATCAAGGTATATATGTCTGATACCTGTCACAATCTCCAGCTCGTTTACATTGCTGATTTGTGGGCCATGTCGGAACGTCTGCCCACTGATCCCTGCATTCGACAACGTGCCTCCAATTGTGAGGTGGAGGTAATCAGTCCATGACTTTGGTGCCAGACCGTACTTCAATGTCTCATTCAGGACATTTATCCAGAGTTCTCCTCCTGAGGCATCAACATAGGGCGATGCACCAGACTGCACCTGCATCTTGGCATTAGGGAGGGACTCCATTTTAATGACAATCCCTCCAGCTGCCTGGCACTGCCCTCGGAGTGAGTGTCCATGCCCACGGGCCGCCACGGTGAGCATGGAGTGCTCTCCCCCCAAGAAGACATGCCTGACCGTAGTGGCAATGTCATCTACTGAGCCTGGATGAAGCACAGCAGCTGGCATGAAACTAGAGAGATTGCCAAAGTCCCAGGCAGCAGTAGACACGTCATGGAAGCTGAAATGGCCATCGAGGGGTAGTTTATTGAGGGTTGCGAGCACATCTTGCTCAGTTGTGTGGGAGGTGGTGACTACACCAAAGGCAAATAAAATGAAAAACTTCAGGTACTGCAGAACTGATGGTTTCATGGCTTATCTACAGTTCAACAACCAACTAGTTCAGCAGTTTAAGTTTTGAGGAGAAAGATGAATAGGATAGGGTGGTTTAGTGTAAGGAGGGATGGGAATGGAGAGTGAGGGATGTATGGATATTTAAAGGGGCACTTGGAGGGTTTGCATGTGGACTGGCCGACTGGTGTAGGAGGTGGTGTCGTCAAACCAGACTTGGGAACTGTTTGGTTGACGAGGATCAGTAAGAGAACAGGTTTGGCTGCAAAATATGGATGCAGACGTATTGCACTGCTGCAAATATTCCTTTCTACAATTTTTTGGTTCGTTGATTCTGTTTGAAGCGTGGTAAAACATGCGTTGGTAAATGAATGGTGGCAGGAGGAAAAGAGGCAGTCCATTCACTAGACTCGGTCTATCATGGCTCCTATCATTCACTACATGACCAGGAGAACAGTGACATAGCAAGGATCGTGCAGTGACAGATATGTTTTTGAACCTGTGTATGTTCGAGCCAGACGGTGGTAACGAAACAGATATGAAGTAGCAGACCTGATTTCTGTCTAACAGACCCACTTGATGCTTCAAATTCGATTTCATGTGCAGAATTTCATGTTACTCTTCAGAAGGATCAGTTGATAGAACTCATAGAAGTGCTATATTGGTTCCTTTAGACTTGTAAGTGGCAAACAATCTCTTGACCATATCTGATAAAGTTTCCATCAGGATGCTTGTTCAGACAATGCATGCATTTTTTTGCAGAATCTTTTCTCCAACAGCAGAACGTACAGACATGTCGGTAAGAATCATTCTGTCTAGCCAATTCTAGAAATATCGATACTGTTAAATAATCTGCTGCTCACCTCTATATGCGCGGCAGGGGCAGACGTCGAAAGGGCTCCCTTGCTGCTGCACTGTAGCCGCTGTAGGGGCAGACGCCGAAAGGCTCACCTGCCGCACTGTAGCCCAAAGTTAGCCCTGCTATCACATCTAGTCACTGTCTCAGCATAACAACCTGACATGTCTGTGTACTAGGATTAGATAGTTAGAGTTGTATATATAGTTTCTCACTGCAACTCAGTAAAGAGAGCGAGTTCAGTTTTGCCATCTCCTCTGCAGAGCTCCGGCCAACGCTGATGCTGGTGTTGTGTGTGTGCGCGCTCTGTTCTCCCTCCCTTCTTCTACCTCTAGCCATAGTGTGTGGTCGGCAACGCCGGTGAGCGGTCGATTCACCCGTGCCGGAGATCTAGGGGCCAACAAGTGGTATCGGAGCCGTACAAGCACCGTCACTGGACTAACCGCTGGCGATGACAAACGGTTTGGAGATGGACGACAGCAGCGACGCTGCTGTGGCTGCCCAGCCACGACAGGAGGTCGTCATGCGCATGGTGCGGGAGGTCAGCAGCACCAGTTGGCCGACGCTGACTCACATCAACTATGGCAAGTGGGCGGTGACCATGAAGGTCAAGCTCAGAGCCCGACGGCTCTGGAATGCTATTGACAAAGGCACCGACAACGAAAAAGATGACATGTCAGCATTGGAGGCTATCCTCGCTGCTGTGTTGGCAGAGTACAAGGAGCCATTGGGGGTGAAGAACTCTACTAAGGAGGCGTGGGAGGCCATTGCAGCGATTTGCGTCGGCTCCGACCACGTAAAGAAGGTGACGGCCCAGCTGCTGAAGCAGGAGTACGTCACCCTCAAGTTCAACGATGGTGAGTCGGTGGAGGACTCCTCCCTCCGCATAGAGTCGCTCATCAGTAAGCTGAGGAGTCACGGCGTCACCATCGGCGAAGAAGAGATGGTCTTCAAGTACCTACACTCTGTGCCGGTGAAGTACATCCAGATCGCTCTCTCCATAGAGACGATGCTGGACTTATCCACCCTCACCATTGAGGATGTGACAGGCCGTCTGTGGGTGGTGGACGAGCGCATGGTGCAAGCCACAACAACGACGGAGAGCGGCAAACTGCTGCTGATAGAGCAGGAGTGGGCTACCCGAAAGAAGTCCAGGGAAGCCTCCTCCAGCCGCGATGGCGATGGCAAGTGTCGTGGCAAGACTTCTTCGGAGAAGAAAAAGAAGAAGGTCGACCCCAACGTCTGCCGGCGCTGCGGGAAGATGGGCCATTAGGCAAAGGAGTGCCCAAATCACAAGTAGAAGAACAAGGCTGAGGCTCATTTAGCGTAGGCTGATGAGGATGATGAGACCACTCTCCTGATGGCGATGTTCTGTGCACTGCACGACGTTGAGGCCAAGGAGAAGGGAGAGGTGATGGCGGTGGAAGGGCACGACAAGTCTCTGAAGGCTATCAACCTCGACGAACCACGCGCCTAAGTCCACCTCGGACGTGTGGGCGGCGAGCAGGAGCAATGCTGGTACCAGGACTCCGACACCGGCAACCACATGACGGGCTCCAAGGAAACCTTCTCCGAGCTCGACAGCAATGTGACCGGCATGGTGAAGTTCGATGACGGCTCAAGGGTGGCGATCCGAGGGCGCGGCACCATCATCTTCAGGTGCCAGAATGGTGAGCACCGCATGCTGACAGATGTGTACTACATCCCACAGCTACGTTCAAGCATTGTCAGCATCGGGCAACTAGACGAGCGTGGATGCGAGGTACTGATCGAGAGCAGGATCCTAAAGATTCAGGATCGGGAGCGGTGTCTTCTCACGAAGGTAAAACGCTCACGTAATGGATTGTACCTGCTCGACTTGAAGGTGGAGCAGCCGGTGTGCCTAGCAGCATGGCACACCGAGGAGCCATGGCTGTGGCATGCCCGGTTCAGCCATCTCAGCTTCGACACGCTCGGTCGGCTAGAGAAGATGGTCCGAGGGCTGCCCCACAACAAGCACGCAGGCAAGCTGTGTGATAGCTGCCTGGCTAGGAAGCAGAGGAGGCTGCCATTCCTAAAGGTGGCCAAGTATCACGTGGCGGATGCTCTCGAGCTCGTCCACGGTGATCTCTACGAGCCAATCAAGCCAACCACAAATGGTAGTCGGTGGTACTTCCTCCTGCTCGTGGATGATTGCGGTCGCTATATGTGGCTCCAACTCTTGACGAGCAAGGATGAGGCGGCGGAGGCGATCAAGAAGTTCAAGGCGCGCACGGAAACAGAGAGCGGCAAGAAGCTACGCGTGCTGCGGACTGATCAAGGCGGCGAATTCACTTCGGTGGAGTTCGCTGCGTACTGCGCGGGTCAGGGTGTGGTGCCACACCACACCACGCCGTACTCACCATAGCAGAATGGCATGGTCCAGCGGCGGAACTAGACGGTGGTCGGCATGTCTCAATCCATGATGAAGGCCAAGAGCATACCAGCAAGGTTCTAGGGTGAGGCGGTGACAACGGCAGTGTTCATCCTTAACCGCGTGCCCACCAAGGCCCTAAAGGGCAAGACGTCATATGAAGCTTGGTATGGGCACAAGCCGAGCGTGTCCTTCCTCTAGATATTCGGCTACATCGGCCACGTCAGAAAGACGAAGCCAGTCCTCACCAAGCTGGAGGACAAGAGCATACCGATGGTGCTCCTAGGCTACGCGGAAGGTACCAAGGCATATCGGCTCTACAACCCACGTGGAGGCAAGGTGCTTGTCTCATGCAACGTCGTGTTTGACGAGAAGGCAGCCTGAGACTAGGATAGTCCGGGCACGGGGGAAGCTGGTGGCTTCACCGGCACCTTCGTCGTCAGGCACTTGGTCATCCATGGTGGTGGAGATGTTGGAGAGGAGGTGCTAACCACTCCAGCAATAGAGCTGAGCACTCCTAGGGTGGTGCCAAGCACTCCGGGAGGGGTGCCGAGCACTCCAGGAGTCATGCCGAACGGTCCTCAGTGGTGCTGACCACTCCAGGATGGGTGTCGAATGCTCCCGTAGCGGAGCCGAGAGGTCTTGCAGTGGTGCCGACCATTCCAAGACTGGTGCCGAGCACTCCGGGAGGGGTGCCGACCACTCTAGGAGTGGTGACGAGTAGTCTAGGAGTAGTGCCAAGCACTACAGCTGGGGTGCCAAGCACTCCAGGTGTTGTGTCGACCACTCCAGCGGAACAGAAACTCCATCGATGCCGATCAAGTTCGCCTCACCTCCAAGTGATATCACTGAGTTCGTGGATGCCTTCCACGACGGTGAGGAGGTGTGGTTCCATAGGCTGGACGACATCATCGGCAGCACAGGGTCCTCAGGCCTAGCGGGTCAGCTGCTCAATGACCCAGAGCTGCTTCTCATCAGTGCAGAGGAACCACCCATGTTCACGCTGGCCGAGCGTGATGCAAATTGGCGATAGGCAATGTTGGAGGAGATGAAGGCGATCGAGGAAAATGAGACTTGGGAGCTCATCGATCCACCTCTAGGATGCCGTCTGATCGACCTGAAGTGGGTGTACAAAGTCAAGAGGGACGCCATTGTCAAGCACAAGGCATGCCTCGTCGCTCGAGGCTTTGTCCAACGCGAGGGCATTGACTTCGAGGAAGTCTTTGCACCGGTAGCATGCATGGAATCTATCCGACTACTGCTAGCTTTGGCAGTAGCGAAGGACTGGCGTGTCCATCACCTGGACGTAAAATCGGCCTTCCTCAATGATGAGCTGGCGAAGACGGTCTTCATCAGGCAACCTCTGGGTTTCACCATCAAGGGAGCAGAGCATAGGGTGCTCCGACTACGCAAGGCGCTCTATGGGCTGCGACAGGCCCTATGAGCGTGGAACGCCAAGCTTGACGCCACGCTGGGCGAGCTTGGGTTCACGCGGTGCACAACCAAACACACGCTCTACACGTGGCGATGGGGGAAGAAGGAGCTCGTCGTCGACATGTATGTGGACGACTTGATCATCATCGATGCGCGTGTAGAGGACATCGACAGCTTCAAGCGTGAGATGGTGGCTCATTTTCAAATGGGCGATCTCGATGCGCTCTCCTACTACCCCAGCATCGAGGTGACATAGGGGAAGGAGGTGCTCATGCTTGGTCAGAGTGCGTATGGCTCGAAGCTGTTGGAGCGGAGCAGCATGGCTGAGTGCAAGCCGTG